AAGCTGAGTGACTGATTGAGTGAGTAGTTGAGTGAGTTCGTGGCTGAGTGAATGAGTGGCTGAGTGAGTAAGCGAGTCATTGAGTGAGTGAGCTAGTATTTGAGTGAGTGGTTTAGTGAGTTGCTGAGTGAGTGAGCGGTTGAGCGAGCGGCTGAGTGTTTGAGTGGCTGAGTGAGTGGGTTAATGAGTGAATGGTTGAATGAGTGAGTGGCTGAGTGTTTGAGTGGCTGAGTGAGTGGTTTAATGAGTGAATGGTCGAGTGAGTGAGGGGTTGAGTTTGTGAGTGGCTGAGTGAGTGAGGGAGTGGCTGAATGAGTGAGTGCTTGAGAAGCTGAGTGAGTGACTGATTGAGTAGTTGAGTGAGTTCGTGGCTGAGTGTTTGAGTGAGTGAGTGGCTGAGTGAGTTGCTGAGTGAGTGAGCGGTTGAGTGAGCGGCTGAGCGGTTGAGTGGCTGAGTGAGTGGTTTAATGAGTGAGTGGTTTAATGAGTGGTTGAGTGAGTGAGTGACTAAATGGCTGAGTGAGTGGCTGAGAGAGTGGTTGAGTGAGAGAATGGATGATTTAGTGGCTAAGTTAGTGGTTGAATGAGTGGCTGAGTGAATGAGTGGCTGAGTGAGTGAGCGAGTCGTTTAGTGAGCTAGTGTTTGAGTGGCTGACTGAGTGGTTTAATGAGTGAGTGCTTGAGTGGCTGAGTGATTGGCAGAGGGACTGATTGAGTGGCTGATTTTGTGAGTGGTTGAGTGAGTGGCTCAATGAGTGAGTAGCTGAGTGAATGAGTGGCTGAGTAAGTGAGCGAGTCGTTGAGTGAGTGGAGTGAGCGGTTGAGTGAGTGAGCGGTCGAGTGAGTGAGTGGCTGAGTTAATGGTTTAATGAATGAGTGGTCGAGTGAGTGAGTGGCTGATTGAGTGGCTGAGTAAGTGAGGGAGTGGCTGAATGAGTGCTTGAGAAGCTGAGTGACTGATTGAGTGAGTAGTTGAGTGAGTTCGTGGCTGAGTGACTGATTGAGTGAGTAGTTGAGTGAGTTCGTGGCTGAGTGAATGAGTGAGTAAGCGAGTCGTTGAGTGAGTGAGCTAGTGTTTGAGTGGCTGAGTGGTTTAGTGAGTTGCTGAGTGAGCGGCTGAGTGAGCGGCTGAGTGGTTGAGTGGCTGAGTGAGTGGTTTAATGAGTGAGTGGTCGAGTGAGTGAGTGGTTGAGTGACTAAATGGCTGAGTGAGTGGCTGAGAGAGTGGTTGAATGAGTGAGTAGCTGAGTGGCTGAGTGAGTGAGTGAGCGAGTCGTTGAGTGAGCTAGTGTTTGAGTGGCTGAGTGAGTGGTTTAATGAGTGAGTGGTTGAGTGAGTGAGTGGCTGAGTTACTAAATGGTTGAGTAGCTGAGTGGGTGAATGGCTGATTTAGTGGCTAAGTGATTGAGTGGCTGAACGAGTGAGTGCTTGAGGGGCTGAGTGAGTGGCAGAGTGACTGATTGAGTGAGTGGCTGAGTGGGTTGCTGAGTGAATGAGTGGCTGAGTGAGTGGTGGAGTAAGTGGTTGAGAGAGTGAGAGGTTATATGAGTGAGTGGCTAAGTGAGTGGATGAGTGAGAGTGGCTGAGTGAGTGGTTGAATGAGTGGCTGAGTGAGTGAATGAGTGGCTGAGTGGTTGAGTGGCTGAGTGAGTGGTTTAATGAGTGAGTGGTCGAGTGAGTGAGTGGTTGAGTGAGTGGCTGAGTGACTAAATGGCTGAGTGAGTGGCTGAGAGAGTGGTTGAATGAGTGAGTAGCTGAGTGGCTGAGTGAGTGAGTGAGCGAGTCGTTGATTGAGCTAGTGTTTGAGTGGCTGAGTGAGTGGTTTAATGAGTGAGTGGCTGAGTTACTAAATGGCTGAGTAGCTGAGTGGGTGAATGGCTGATTTAGTGGCTAAGTGATTGAGTGGCTGAACGAGTGAGTGCTTGAGGGGCTGAGTGAGTGGCAGAGTGACTGATTGAGTGAGTGGCTGAGTGGGTTGCTGAGTGAGTGGCTGAGTGAGTGGTTGAGTAAGTGGTTGAGAGAGTGAGAGGTTATATGAGTGAGTGGCTAAGTGAGTGGATGAGTGAGAGTGGCTGAGTAAGTGGTTGAATGAGTGGCTGAGTGAGTGAATGAGTGGCTGAGTGAATGAGTGGCCGAGTGAGTGGTTGAGTGAGTTAGTGGTTGTGAGAGGTTGCATGAGTGAGTGGCTGAGTGAATGAGTGGCTGAGTGAGTGAGCGAGTCGTTGAGTGAGCTTGTGTTTGAGTGGCTGAGTGAGTGGTTTAATGAGTTAGTGGTTGAGTGGCTGAGTAAGTGAATGAGTGGCTGAATGAGTGAGTGCTTGAGTGGCAGAGTGAGTGGCTGATTTTGTGAGTGGTTGATTGAGTGGCTGAATGAGTGAGTAGCTGAGTGAATGAGTGGCTGATTAAGTGAGTGAGTGGAGTGAGCGGTTGAGTGAGTGAGCGGTCGAGTGAGTGAGCGGCTGTGTGGTTGAGTGGCTGAGTGAATGGTTTAATGAGTGGTTGAGTGAGTGAGTGGCTGATTGAGTGACTGAGTGAGGGAGTGACTGAATGCGTGCTTGAGAAGCTGAGTGACTGATTGAGTGAGTTCGTGGCTGACTGAATGAATGGCTGAGTGTGTAAGCGAGTCATTGAGTGAGTGAGCTCGTGTTTGAGTGAGTGGCTGAGTGGTTTAGTGAGTTGCTGAGTGAGCGGTTGAGTGAGCGGCTGAGTGGTTGAGTGGCTGAGTGAGTGGTTTAATGAGTGAGTGGTCGAGTGAGTGGTTGAGTGAGTGGCTGAGTGACTAAATGGCTGAGTGGCTGAGTGAGTGGTTGAATGAGTGGCTGAGTGAATGAGTGGCTGAGTGAGCGAGTCGTTGAGTGAGTGAGCTAGTGTTTGAGTGGCTGAGTGAGTGGTTTAATGAGTGGTCGAGTGAGTGAGTGGTTGAGTGAGTCAGTGGCTGAGTTACTAAATGGCTGAGTGAGTAGCTGAGCGAGTGAATGGCTGATTTAGTGGCTAAGTGATTGAGTGGCTGAATGAGTGAGTGCTTGAGGGGCTGAGTGAGTGGCAGAGTGACTGATTGAGTGAGTAGTTGAGTGAGTGGCTGAGTGGGTTGCTGAGTGAGTAGCTGAGTGAATGAGTAAGTGGTTGAGAGAGTGAGAGGTGTTACATGAGTGAGTGGCTAAGTGAGTGGATGAGTGAGAGTGGCTGAATGAGTGGCTGAGTGAGTGAATGAGTGGCTGAGTGAGTGGTTGAGTGAGTTAGTGGTTGAGAGAGTGAGAGGTTGTATGAGTGAGTGGCTGTGTGGTTAGTGAGTAAGTAGTTGAGTGAGTGAGCGAGCGGACCGGCATAGGGGCCGCTAGATTCCCCAGCCCCGAGGCAAGGGGGGCTGCGGGGTGTGCTGGGATCCCCCGGGACTCCCCTTGGAACTCTCTGGAAAGGAGGCGTGGCTGGGGGCGGGCACGCCTCCGGAGCTGTATAAAAGCCGGACCTCTGGACGGCTCGAGAGCAAGTGGAAGACTGAAGACCAGACAGCTAGGACCCTGGGACTCACCTGACCCGACGTCCTTGTAAGGGCCGGGACCGAGTGGGCCAGTGGTCGGGACCTATACCTTGTCTGGGTCGGGTCAGAACAGCTTCCCCTAGGTCACCCCTAGCCGGAGGACCCAGAGACCGTAGCCCCAGGAGTAGGGCACGTCAGTCCGGAGGCGGTACCTCCTTTGGCAGCGGGTGAAGGGGCCGTAACCCCTTCAAGTGTTAAGGGTCCGCTACGCACTGTATCGTAGCCATTGTTAATAAACGTGTTGCCTCCAGTCGTTCGTCTCCACCCTCGTGAAAACCCACACTACACATGTACTCACTGAATTTTAATATAACATGTGTAGTAATACTGATGTAGGGGAGTGTACAAAGAAAGTGCTAGAAGGCACACGTTGAGATAATTGGAAACAGGTAGCAGGAAGGCACTGTTATAAATATTCAATAAAGGACACGTTATAGTAAAGTTGGGGGGGGGGGGCGACTGTCTGATAGGGGTGGGGCTGAGAGAGGCTATAGGGGGGAGCAAGGCCTGGGATCGGGGCATTTGCTTGGGGACAAATCGATGACCAAGGTGGACGACATTGGGGCCGACTGTTCAAGATCAACTAAGTGGAAACCATTGGGGCTGACTGTTTTTAGAATCAACTTGGTGAAAATCATCGGGACTGATTATTTGAGAACCAACTTAGTGGAAAACATGGTGGCTGAAGATAACCAGAGCAATTACGAATGTGGCAGTTGTTACTCTGAACTGTAAATACATTAAGGGAAATAAAGCTCTACTTCTACAAAAATGGATGTCTCCCCAGGAGCTTCTTTACACTGGTGGCAGTGGTGGGATAAAGTCTACGGTATCAGGAAAGAAGACCCCTGGAGGAGCTCCCTTGGAGGAAGAAACGTCGGTCCTCAGTGCCCCGGGTCCCCAAGACCCAGAACCCAGCAGGAGCCGGACCCCATTAACAGCTACATTTCCAAAGCAGGTTATCAATATTAACGGCAATTCCAAGTATTTTTGTTTACTATTAATATTTAAGTAATTTTTGTTCATATGTTATAGAGTACTGTACATATTTATCATGTTTACTGAATGCATAAGATGCGTAGTTAGGCTTCTATTCGTCTTAAACCGCGACCCTGGAACCTAACCCCCTATTTTCCTTAAGCCTTTAGTCTTGCCAACCACGGTTTTAACAAACAGGGGGGGTTTCAGGAATCTCACCTCCACAGTTGGCTGTATCACAAAAATATGCACAATTATCACTTAAACTTATTACAGAAAACCGTATAGTATAGCCAAATACTGAAATGTTACCCAACTTACGAGGTTGTTATGAAGCTGATGAGGGTTTTTTTACATACAGTAATCTCGATTATCCACGCGCGGTTTATCCCATTTGCCAATTAACCGCGCACATGAGATTTTAACAAAAAATAACTCATGAATTGTCCCTTAGGCCCAAATGAACAATATAAAAAGTTCAACATTGTCATTCTTGGAAATGTTTATTACAAGTCACGTGCTTAAACCAAACAAACATGTGCTCCAGTGAATCAGAAATCCACGTAACCGCCTCTACAGTACATTCGTTGCATAGCTTTACAACAGTGGCCGGAGTTTGACATTGATTGACATGGCTCTGCCATCCACTTCGAGGGCCGAGTCTTCAGCGCGGGAGCAGGAAAGTATTATCACCGAGCACGTGCATCGATCCACTAATGAGCATTCGTTCTCAATTTTAACTTAAACATAATTTATATCAATGTGGTTTTTGGCATAGAGATCCGCGGAAAATTCATATTTTTGGATTATCCGCAATTTTGAATAATCTGCGGCCATCCTACTTATTAGCACGGATAATCGAGTCTACTGTATATACTTGTTTGTACAACCCTGCCAATGCAGTATTTGACATTTTCACTTAAAATGTTCTGGTATTTTGTTTCATGCAGTCATTGTTCAACAAACCCGAGAAAATCGACTTAAACATCCGTTAAAAGAAAACTTCTGCACTCGACAAGCCTGACATTTTTTTTCTCAGCATGGTAAATGTGAAATTATGCATGGCACATGCTCAGCTAGTTTAACCGCGTTATAGTGTCATGATGAATGTGTTAGTGGTGCGTTATCATAAAAAATTAATGATATAAAAACTAATTGTGAATAAAAGTATATTCCGCTGCAATGAAAGTAAATTTTCAAAATTGCTTGTTTTTTTAAATGCAATGAGTACGTTGATACAAATTATTTTGTTGTACATTGAATGTTGTATGCTGCTGTATTGTGCGAGGCTAAGTATAACTATTAAAAATGAATTGACTGGCGTTGAAGTTTGTGAGGAAATTACTTAGTGAAGTGAATACTTCACAAGCTGCATTTATTGTCACTGCTATTTTGTAGCTCAATTAAGACATCAGTTCGATAACCCCACGTTAAACAAATATACCTTGTTGACAATTTAAATATAAAAAAGCATTTAAAGCAATTTCTCAAATGTCTACATACTAATGACAACTGGCTGCTGTTGTAGAACAAACAGTAATCAGTACAGCTCAGTGAAATTGAGAAGAAAAAACGAGGTGGGTCTTGTCAAATCCGGAAAACAGTGTGTCGGCCAGGCAGTGCTGCGGTAGAGCACCTGTGTCGCACTGAGAAAGTTGCCAACGTCGTAATATTTAGTTTTCGTATCGCGTCATCCATGCGGCAAATGCATCACACAATCCTGGTGAGAGGTCAATTTGACACATCTTCCCTCCCGGGTTCATAAATTGAGCACCACTTCCATCAAGGCTATAGCCACACTCCACCCTGCATAGCTTTAGAGTTCAGAGCTAGAGACTCGGGTGGTCCTGGGGTGCGGAGGAAAGCGACGGCCGTGCTAAGAGCGGCCAGTCTGGATGCGACGGATGTCCTCCTTGCTCAGCAGCAGCGCACCTCCACGAAAGCGGCCAGGCATGCCCTCCACCCCGAGGTCGTCGTGCCGCCCCCGCTTGCTGTGCACACACCAAACATAACCAGGGTCATCTCCCTGCCGGTACTGCCCAGTTATCGCCCCAAAACTACATTTACCAGAGTAAAAACTACATTTACCAGAGTAAATGTAGTTCTGCCGCAGAAGCTGCTCTAGATTGAGGTGTTGTGCTCAACTTGTAAATTGAAGGTCACGAATTAAGATCCTGTTAAACTCACCCTACATTATTTCCGGGTCAATCAAAGTACACTAAAACCTTGGTCTGCGAGTGTTTTGCAAGACGAGCAAATTTTTTTAATAAATATTAATTTGATAAACGACCGAGGTCTTGCAACATGTGCTTTGATATACGAGTGCTTTGGATTACAAACACGTTTCTGGAACGAATAATGCTCGCAATCCAAGGTTTTACTGTACCATGTCATGGTAAGTTCAGGCTCGTGGTCGTCCAATGTAGAGACCGACTCCCAGGTAGTCCTGTGGTTACAGCACTCGACTAGCAAGCAATAGGCTGCAAGACCAAATTTCATCCCAATCAGAGGTTCTCAACTCATCATTGCTCATCATTCTTCCACAGTCGATCACATGACCACGGACAGAGGAAAAGACTTGCGCTCCTACCACTGTCATGTTCAATGCCACCACTGTCTCAGAACAATTGCACTCTGACACCAACATGTATGAGCAGTGACCAATACCAGACAATCAACTTGCAGCCAAACCTCCCAAAGCCCTATCCTAGGACTTCCCCAAACTCCTGTCTCACCTTTGACCATACTAAACATTTATTCAGATGGTGGGCATCCAAAAGACAAACACATTGGGGCATGTTGAGTGTCGTTTGGAGAACTCTAGTCCAATGAGACTGTGTTTTTACTTCATGTGTGGCCTGGTTTGGGGTGTACTGTTGCAAGGCAGCCATGTATGTTGGGTCTTCACCTCTCCACACGTCTTCTCCCTTTCTTCTTCTTATTGAATATCCCACTCTCCGCCTCCTACACGCACAGTCAGGGAACAAGAGCAATGTCTGGATCTTTGATTGTTCGGCACAATAGAAACATTGCATTATGCTGGATGCAGTGTGTATGCGTCTTATTATTTGTGTGGGGAGCAGTGAATGCAACTTTCACACGACACTAGGCTGACAGTCACTTGACTCAATTCCTGGCCATGGACATCAGCAAACAGTTTAAAAATATTTATTGGGCTTCTTTTAGGTCGATTCAACCTTTACTAACGGGTACAGTGTATAAAAATCAGCACTGGAAAAATAAGAATGACTGGACATGATGGTGGGCACATTATCCTCTCGTTTTCTGTGCTGGCTTTGTGACCTCCAAAGCTCAAGTGGGGCACTGGAATTTTGTATCAATATATTTGTTGGGTACATCTGTCATCATACTTCTCTGTGCCTTTTCTCCGCCTCCTCCTTCTGCTGTCGCTTCTGGTTCAGGAGCTCCTTGTAGTTGATATACTCAGGCTTGGGTGGCTGCATATGCACAAGCGCGGAAAATCTTAATGAATGAAAGTGTTAATGCAAACATGAAACGTGGAGATGCGTGTGCATTCACCGACAGACACCTGCCTACATGCGAAAAGGGACACACTTGGGGTGGAGCGGTTGTGCAGTGGTTAATACACTGCGTTATGAGCCTGGTGGGCAAACATAGTGACTCTTGGCCATGATTAACATCAGTGACGATTAATAGCTGAACTGGTCATTGGCCCCCCTCCACCAACCTGCACTGGCTAGCATGGTGATGATCTTGATTTGAAGCTTTCGTGACTGCAGGAATCCATACTCTTTTGTTCTTTTAGTAAAGTTACGTAGGTAGAAAAAATAATAATAGATCACGACATTTCGATCGCCACACAAGCAACCGTCTTCAGGTGGGAGTGAGAAACAGGCTGCTGAAACAAGTCCTTATATAGAGAGCCGAGAGGGGGGGAGGGGCGTTGCCGCATCGGGCAAGAGGGTGGGGGCTGGAGCTTGTGCTGAGGAGGTGGCCATTGTATTGTGATACCCTGGTGTCTACAAACTAAGTTGTATTTGCGGTAGCAGTTACATTGGGGAAACGAAATGACATGTCTCGGACCATGTTCGCGAACACAAGGCAGATTTGAAACACGACAGAACCAATACCTCTGCCGTGGCTGATCACTGCTTGAACGCGGTGGGCTCACACGACATTGTTTTTTTCCGAGACCAAGGTACTCTGCAAACCTTCGGGCTACCATTAAAGATTTGTTCATGAAGCCATCCACATAACTTCAACCGAGATGGGTACAAATTGAGCTTATTAACCAGGTAAAGCCTTAAGTGGTTGTTGATGTTTCCATCCTACCTGCCATTGTCAGCAGTTTTTTCCGACTCTGAGTTACATTACCAAGTTAAATGTCTTTACTTTAACGGGCTAGATGTCTCTAACAAAGCCAACGTTGCCCCCTTTCCCTCGATGTGGTGGTGGCTCTCGTTTTTTAGCAGACTACAACTGGCTGTGATGTTGATGCGAGTGCGTCTCTCTGTGTGTGTCTCTGTGTGTGTGTCTCTGTGTGTGTGTCTCTGTGTGGGGAGCGATAGTGTAGCGGTTAGCGCGCTGCGCTATGAACCTGGCGACCCGGGTTCGATTCCCGCTCACGACCAACACCAGTGACGATTATCTGAACCGGTCCCGGGCCTCCCCTAGGTCGACTCAGCCTCAAATGAGTACCTGGTGCGGTGTGTAAACATCGCCACTAGGGAGACAAAGGCAGGCGGGCGTGGTGCTGGCCACCCACCCCCTCGTGTACCGTTCCGGCCTTCATAGGTGCTCGCTAACAGCACTTGCCCCTACAGTCTGTTAAGGCTATATGGGGGATCTTTGTCTCTGTGTGTGTCTCTGTGTGTGTCTCTGTGTGTGTCTCTGTGTCTCTGTGTGTGTCTCTGTGTGTGTCTCTGTGTGTGTCTCTGTTTGTGTCTCTGTTTGTGTCTCTGTGTGTGTCTCTGTGTGTGTCTCTCTCTCTCTGTCTCCTGCTGCGCGTTCTATCCCCCTAGTGGCTGATATACCGTCATTACACTCAACCCTCCATCATCTCCGTGCCTTTCCCTCACCCTCGTTCAGCAGTGAACTGACCAAGGACCGAATTATAATAATCACACACTTAATGCTAGCAAATAGAGCAACATTGCATTCGATTCTGTACTTTTGTGTATGTGTGTGTGTATATGCTGAGTACGTATTAACTACATTCAGACAGGATCTCATTTCAAATCACTCATTGTCCACACTGCCCTGCAGGGCACTGTTCATCACAATAATAGAAGGAAGCGTGTCTTGAGGCCTGGATGCTCTATGGGCACTCGCTCACCTCGTAATTGATTTTAGATTAAAAAACAAAGCTTGCTCGCGGATCTGCCAAGTCCAGATACCAGATATACGAACACGTGCTTGCTTCGGATGCCTGGTGCTCCGCACAGGAGTTTGGATCTAGTAACCTGATGCTTTGTGTTTGAAAGTTTCTGTATCTTGAAGGGCAATATCCAAGTGTGCATGGTACATGGGGGTTTTCAAGAAACACCAGGAAAACACTGAGGTTGGCCACGTGGAGTGTTCAAACAGTCACTGTAGAACAGAGGCTTTCATTTCTCAGGAGTTGGACCGATATCACTTGGACCTCTGTGGTATACAAGTCTGGTGGGCTGGTTCTGGTTTCAGTCACCATGAGGGGTGGACAATTCTCCCTGTTCCATGGCCTCCTGCCAGTGGGCCTTCAACACTTCACTGGGCCTCAAAGTGCACTTAGCATGGCACAAGCGCCATTGTGATATCACCACCACTTAGTGGTGAACTGCAATTGTATGGTACTTTATACAGGAGCTTTTGTAGGTGGGGAATGGCGGCACGAATGGTTTGCGCACTGCATTACAAGCCTGGCGACCTGAGCTCGATTACTGGTAACAGTTCACATCGGTGGCAAGTGATGCATGTGCCAAAGTGCAGGGTGCAGAGCACTGATGCAAGGGAGAGGCAAATGCAACCAATGGAGGGAGGTAATGAAGCTAGCCAGAAATTTGCAACAACTGTGTGCACGTGTGAGAGAATGTGCGTTGGCAAAAATCACTGAGGAATATTTTTAACGGTTCAGGGCTTCCCCGAAGTCGACTCGGTCTTAAATGAGTACCTGATGCGGTGCGTAAACATCAGCACTGGGGAGACAGAGGCGGCTGGGCATAATACCGGTCGCACAAACCCCTCTTGTCCTGTGCCGGCCCTTCATAGGTGCTAACAGCACTTGCCCCCAAAAGTTCACAAAGACTACATGGGGGGTTTGTGTCGTTGTGTCTTTGCACGAGTTTGTAGCCCTACCTTTGCGCCCAGGCGAATGGCGCGCGCGCGCTCACACTCGCGCTGCCGCTCGCGACTGTAGCCCGTGAGCCCAAACTTGTGCACCTCCAGCCTGGCCTGCACACACGCGGGGACCACAGCCAGCATTAGGGGGGGGTCTTTCAGATGCTTGATATTTTAAAAGTGATGTAATCCCGTAACATAATCCTGCATTTGGTACTTTTTAAGTCCCATAAGTTGCATAATCCGATTATTTAGTTTAGAGGCCTTTGTCAATCCACTGCTGGAGGAGGGTCCCCCCCACATGCCGTGGGCATTGAGGTTGTTTGTCTATTCTACAAAATGTGTGCATGTTGAACTTCTTTCGCAACGTACATAACCAACTGTGCCGAACGGTTTGGTGAAGTGACTAGTTCAGTTATCACTCACCACTGACAGCTGTAGCCAGGAGCTGAACGCAAGTAAACCGGGCTCGTAACGCATTGTGCTAATCACTGTATCAGGGCAACTCCCTCACAATAATGATGCGATTTGAATCTCATTTACAAAAGAGTCACTGCTCTAATAGCACTATACAACTTGCACATGGAGACCCATGCTGTGAATTGCACATTGTAATGTGATCATGAGAACTGTGCTCTTTGCAGCACCATCATTTTCTCATTTATAAGCAACCAGTATATGCGAAAGTGATAATCTGATTACACGTGAAAATTACGTTTTGTTGACTATCATCATCTATATGCTGCTTAATGCACGACACGGGTCTCAATGAGCAACTCAAAAAAAACGTTGGCACATGTAGATGTTACGAAGCAGTTGTGTGCTTAACAAGAGAAACAAACTATATTCACATATTACTGGAACCTGCCTTGGATATGTGACTAAAAAACATGTTTTTTGGTGAACGCCAGCAACGGAAACTATATTACAACAACAGCTTCACATTCGTGTAAGGTTAGAGCGAGTGACATCAGACCTTTTCAATGCTGAACCCAGTCTCTTGGTCACTGGTGGGTACATTGGCCACCCCCTGCAGCATGGTACACACACAGATTCGCACACCGTAAATACAAAGAACATGCACTCCACACTGATCACATGCAGAACAATTATGACGACACTGTTGGTGATGTTGATGGAGAGAAGTGTAGGTTACGATAAATAGGATTCTATTGATTGTGGTTGTCATGTTGTTGGAGATGAAGGTGTGGTGTGCTGACAGTGTTGTTGATGATGGTTACAGTCAATGGTAACGAGGTATTACTACTGAAATGCTGAAAGGAGGAGGCAAAAGCATGTTGGAAGATTTGCACAAGGTCAACAAATCTACCTGCTATAGGGAACAGCCACCACAGGACTAAAAGAAGGCGACCAAGGGGAAAAACTAAAAACAGATGGTAAGATACTGAGAATACTGTGAGGACAGATATTGGGGGGAGGTTATGTCTACTTTGCAGCAGCAGCTGTGGGAAATATAAAATGGTAGAAAGTGTTTGTGAGGTGTGGTGGCACCACATGCTTTGACCACAATGACATCTTTCTCTGTGGATGGGAATTCAACATAAGAAGCAATGACGCTGCTCTTATAGGGAAGGGAAAGTATGCTACAGTGATGCTGTTGACACTGAATAAACTATACGCTGCTGATGATGATGTTTCTAGCATCCATGGGAAAAGAGTTTCAAGTTTATAGGGTAAAGCTTTCGGTGCTGTGAACAGCCGATGATGATGCTAAGAGTCGTGATTATAAAGCTGACATTGATAAGAATTTAACATTCACCACTGCTAATGAAAATAATGCTGATAATAGCAACGGAAGAAGAAACGCTGGAGATATTTTAATTATGATGTCGACTGAGAGAAAAACTGCTTTGACAAAGATTGTACTCCTGAAAGTGATGACCATTCTTTTAGGACTGAGGTGTGATAATGTTATTAATTTGGTTGGCGGCGTGTGGTGGTGTTGGGGAGTCCAGGAAATCTTACCGCGGTCTGCTTCGTGCCATTCTCCTTAGCCACTTGTGGCTTCTCCTTCTGTCGCTTTCTCTTGCGCGGATCCTCGTACACGACCAACTGAATGGCCTTGCCTCCCGTTTTGGCCTGGCTCCCTGGGCCAGCCCCACTCTCCTCACTGCCGACCTCATTTTCACTGCCAGCTCCGTTCTTCGCACCAGCTCCCTTTCTCTCTCCATCTGGAGCTGACTCACCCAACAATTCATAAAAGCATAAGAGCAAGGAATTGTTCTTAAAGGTCGGCAATTGGAAGGAAAGTAAACGTTTTCTCAAAATTGTATATTTAAGCATTCTGGATTCATAATCAACAAATCAGTGGTCCGCCTCAAAAGGTAGTACATGCAGTGTGGTGCTGCAAATAAATAATTCAGTAATCCCTTGCGAACCGCAAGGTTCCTGAAAACCCTCACAGTTGGTAAATTCAAGGTTGTTAAAGTGCAGGGAGCCTAAGGTTAGGTCAACCAGAGCCTCGGTCAGACTCGTCATAGCTTAACTAAGTTGCCCATTTATTAACACAATGACATAATAAAACATACATTAACCTTACATACCTTTAATATTAATGATGATAATGAGATGATGGGGGAAGGGGTGGTTAGAAAGAGGTGGTGCTCAGCCCCCCCCCCCCCCTTACTCCAGGCCACAGACACAACACTCTCACCTTCACTTGCTACACGCTTCGGGTCCATGATGAAAAGCAAAATGATTGTGTACTGTACAGTACCTTACAACAAAACAGATGGGCCGCTGATCAGCTAAGCAGCGTCACGGCGCTGTGACATATGTAACAATGACGTCACGCAATGCAATGTCATACTCTTCTTGGGTCTTTCGGTCAAGTCACGTAAATAAAAAAATAATAGATCGCAACGTTTCGATCACAACACAAGCAATCGTCTTCAGGTGAAGACGATCTTCACGATGACGGAAATAAAAAATAATAGATCACGACATTCGATCGCAACACAAGCAATCGTCTTCAGGTTAAGACGATAGATCATGACGTTTCGATCGCAACACAAGCAATCGTCTTCAGGTGAAGACGATTGCTTCACCTGAAGACAATTGCTAGTGTTGCGATCGAAACATGACTTTACCGAAAGACCCAAGAAGAATATGAATTCCTGCAGTCACGAAAGCTTTAAATCAATGCAATGTCATGTTGAAATGCAATAGAGTGATAACTGTGTGCTTACCCATAGATACTCAAATTTCCAAGCCGCAATTGGTAAATTGTTATGCTGTACAATTATTTTGTGAGACGGAGCATGAATCTGACCTATCGCGGAGGTAGCAACGTGGAGCAGAAACAGGATTGGGTAGCAACAGACCCAGAGGTGCCCCCTCGCGTGAGTCTGAGCCAACATGGCAGATACTACAGTGAGGGAAAAAAGTATTTGATCCCCTGCTGATTTTGCACGTTTGCCCACTGACAAAGAAATGATCAGTCTATAATTTTAATGGTAGGTTTATTTGAACAGTGAGAGACAGAATAACAACAAAATCCAGAAAAACGCATGTCAAAAATGTTATAAATTGATTTGCATTTTAATGAGGGAAATAAGTATTTGACCCCTCTGCAAAACATTGCCAACAAGGGTTTTGCCACCAAGTACTGAGGTCAGACGTTTCTTGTAGTTGGCCACCAGGTTTGCACACATCTCAGGAGGGATTTTGTCCCACTCTTCTTTGCAGATCTTCTCCAAGTCATTAAGGTTTCGAGGCTGACGTTTGGCAACTCGAACCTTCAGCTCCCTCCACAGATTTTCTATGGGATTAAGGTCTGGAGACTGACTAGGCCACTCCAGGACCTTAATGTGCTTCTTCTTGAGCCACTCCTTTGTTGCCTTGGCCGTGTGTTTTGGGTCATTGTCATGCTGGAATACCCATCCACGACCCATTTTCAATGCCCTGGCTGAGGGAAGGAGGTTCTCACCCAAGATTTGACGGTACATGGCCCCGTCCATCGTCCCTTTGATGCGGTGAAGTTGTCCTGTCCCCTTAGCAGAAAAACACCCCCAAAGCATAATGTTTCCACCTCCATGTTTGACGGTGGGGATTGTGTTCTTGGGGTCATAGGCAGCATTCCTCCTCTTCCAAACACGGCGAGTTGAGTTGATGCCAAAGAGCTCCATTTTGGTCTCATCTGAACACAACACTTTCACCCAGTTGTCCTCTGAATCATTCACATGTTCAATGGAAAACTTCAGACGGGCATGTATATGTGCTTTCTTGAGCAGGGGGACCTTGCGGGCGCTGCAGGATTTCAGTCCTTCACGGCGTAGTGTGTTACCAATTATTTTCTTGGTGACTATGGTCCCAGCTGCCTTGAGATTATTGACAAGATCCTCCCGTGTAGTTCTGGGCTGATTGCTCACCGTTCTCATGATCATTGCAACTCCACGTGGTGAGATCTTGCATGGAGCCCCAGGCCGAGGGAGATTGACAGTTCTTTTGTGTTTCTTCCATTTGCGAATAATCGCACCAACTGTTGTCACCTTCTCACCAAGCTGCTTGGCGATGGTCTTGTAGCCCATTCCAGCCTTGTGTAGGTCTACAATCTTGTCCCTGACATCCATGGAGAGCTCTTTGGTCTTGGCCATGGTGGAGAGTTTGGAATCTGATTGATTGATTGATTGCTTCTGTGGACAGGTGTCTTTTATACAGGTAACAAGCTGAGATTAGGAGCACTCCCTTGAAGAGTGTGCTCCTAATCTCAGCTCCTTACCTGTATAAAAGACATCTGGGAGCCAGAAATCTTTCTGATTGAGAGGGGGTCAAATACTTATTTCCTTCATTAAAATGCAAATCAATTTATAACATTTTTGACATGCATTTTTCTGGATTTTCTTGTTGTTATTCTGTCTCTCACTGTTCAAATAAACTTACCATTAAAATTATAGACTGATCATTTCATTATCAGTGGGCAAATGTACAAAATCAGCAGGGGATCAAATATTTTTTCCCTCACTGTACGTGGCAGCGCCAATTTGATTTCACGACTCGGCGCAACTTGTGATGTGTATACTGAGCCCCCTCCTTCTAACCAACCCTTCCCCCATCATCTCATCATCGTTAATATTCAAGGTACGTAAATTTAACGTAATGTTTATGTTTCATTATTTTATTGTGTAATGTACTGTATTTTACTCATTGTTTCGTTAATAAACAGGCAACTTAGCGAAGCTATGACGAGTCTGAGTGCGGCCGTGGTTCCCCTAACCCCCAATGTTTCCATAGGCCCTGAAATTTACCAACCGCGGATTTGCCTTGTCCAGGAACCTAACCCCCGTGATGAGAGAGGGGTTGGCTGTATTCGTAATAAGTGGTAAGCTTTCGAAGTGTGGTGGTGATAACCTCCTCTACTCCACCCATCACCGCAAGCATTCGTTAATTATTCTGCTGGTGAGTGTTCTAATCTTTTTCCTCATTTACATGACAAAACATTTAATGTATAATTACAGATTAAAAACATTCTAAATGTGTTATTTATGTACAAAAGTGTAAAAATTTGTTAATGTGCAAAAATTCATTTCTGCACTTAGCCATTTTCTATTCTTAAATTTTCTCTTTCTCTCCACTCCACCCATCACAGCTCACATGCGCACAATACCGTATTCTTTACTTTAGGTTACCTTTACCATTGTTTATTTTCGTTTAAATATTATTCATGCATAACATATACATAAAAGGCAACAATAAAAAGCATTAACCAAAATATAGTCATAATGAGAATGATACAATTGTCGATCGAGTTGGGGGCTTGGAACGCACCCACTCTAATTTTCATTATTTATTTTGGGAAATTAGTGTTTGATTAACACAATTTCTCCTTACACAAACATTTTCAAGAATGCATCTATCCTGCTAATCGGGGGCGACCTGTACACGATTTTGTAGATTTTAATCCAGATCACCAGTACTTATGGCTCAGTTGTATTGTCTGCATTACATTTGTCAATAATACATTCCAACCAAATTTTATTACACCGAATGCATCAGCGATCCTTTCATGCAAGAATTTATCAAAATAGCAATTAATCAATACAACATTATATAGCAGCCTATGCTACCGTGAATTTAAGAGGAAATCATTCGATAGGTAGTGGGTCAAGTGTGATGATACCATCATTGTGGAGGGGAGACTTGGGCTCCTCAAGGGCAGCTTGATGCAGGTCACGCAGATGGCTGGGCAGCGGCTCCCGACCACCACTCTTTTGAAGCCCCTTGCCGCGTGTTGTTCCACTAATCTTGAGGTTCCCTCTGGAAGCCTTGCTGTGCTTGCCTACTCGAACCTGTGTTGTGGCTACAGGCCTGCTGTCGGTACCACTTGTGTTCGTCAGAGCCTCTCTCTGCTTCTTCTTGGCAGTGCCTTCACTGTGAATGCTCCTAGCCGGGTCATCTCCTGAGGGGACACGTCACATGTCATTAGACGCGCTACTCGAAAAGACACCATAAGGCACGACCAGGTGATGAACACTTATATACATTTTTGCAGCAAAAATCACCATGAATGCCAAACCATTTCCAATAACTTAAATACGTGCAACATACTCTGCGGATGGGGCAAAGAAGCAATTACATATAAAATCCCCAAGCTTGTAACTGGTGTAGTACTTATGCAATTTGATCTTATACATTCATCTATTTTATGTATTTTTAGTGATTTGCTTAACGTACTTTCCCTCTACTTTGCACTACTGTCGTGTTTAACATTGTTGTTGTGACTTTCTGACCCGCCCCTACTCGACATCTGTGTAAAAGACCTTCATAGCACATCGGATTTCTCCAGGATAAATAAATATCCTTATTATGAAATACAGGAAACACTGCCTGTGTTCAGGCAGACGCCAATGTTGTTTTATGTTCACTATCCTAGCAGAAATGAAAATACCAAAATCATTCTTGAAAATTAGTTCTCAACCTTTGTAAGGAGGCACTTCTCTGCCAGTTGTTGTCCGGAGGCAAGAAAATCACGCGTTTAACATAACAATAGCGGCACGGGCTACGTACAGTCCCTCAACACGACACTCAATCTTGATCTCGTAGAGGACACTGCGTAGCGATACACCGTTAGCCTACAGGGAGACGCTGGGGGCCACGTATTCGTCACTTATCCTGCATGGGCCACGTATTCGTCACTAATCCTGCATGGGCCACGTATTCGTCACTTATCCTACATGGGCCATGTATTCATCACTTATCCTGCATGGGCCACGTATTCGTCACTAATCCTGCATGGTATCCATGCCGCAGCCTGGGCACCCCGTTGAACAAGCTGTGGACAAGCTTGGAACAACAAGATGCATCAAACCCGCAGAGGAGGGGGTCCCCCCCCCCCATACCTGCGTGGGCTTGACAACAACAAGAAGACGAAGACGCAAACACCGCTGCCGTGATGACGCCCCGCTGGTTCGTTCCTTCCTTCTCCCCTGCTGAAGAACTCCCATTCATTACCCCCGGTCACTCGTCTCAACTCGCTCCCCACATCCCAAGCCCTGTCGGGTTTTTTTTGTCTCGTGACTTTTAACCGACTGCCGCCGCTTTCTCTCTTCGAAAGTAGATATTCCATGCGTTTCTTACAGCGTCGTGAGACGAAGTCGCATTTACACGCCATAAAATCAATGTTGGTAACACGGGTTACAGAATGCCGTACACGAATCACACAGGACGGGGCTCGCGCTACGTGTTAATGTAGCGATGCCGTCTCTACGCGGTAAACCATGCGCGGTTGGCAGAGGAGGAATGCCTGATAGTTCACTTCACGCAGCAAATTAGTTCCATAATTACCAACAGCGGTAAGAATTGAATGTGGGCCGTGCTCGAGCCTCCGATCTTTCCTGGCTGGGGCGCCGGATATCGGCCTTTAGAGGCGGCGGCGGCGGCACAGGGGACCCTTGGCTCACCGCAGTCGTAGATCCTCGACAAGACGGCGTCCAGCAGGGAAGGGGCGATCGCTTCTATTTCGGCCTCGTCCACCTCCTCATTGTCGCCGTAACTGCTGCTGCTGCTGCCAGACATGGTCTCGTGGAGTTGCAAGACTGAGTTGAAGTGACCGCGGAAGCGCACACCGTGGTCCACACGCGTGCGGCCTGGGGAGCGGAAATGACGATGGCTGAGCCCTCACGATACCAAAGGCAAAGGTGCACGGTGTAGCCTACACGGGCCGTTGGGGCAAGTGCTGTTCGCGAGCAGTGCCTGTGGTGATACCACGAGAGCCACGTGGCACACCCAAGAAGGTATTCTGTAAATGAATAACAAGTTGACGACCCAGACATTGATTCAATGTTGAGATCATCCATGCTCGCTCCCATAGGAAGCCTTGGCCGATCTTTATTTTAAAATCTCCCCATTCATGGCCAAACAATGAACTTCATAATTAACTTTTTTCAATAACTCTCAACAATAGAAGCCGATTTTCTCAACAATTGGGTTGGTGTGGTTTGGCGAGTTTTTTTTTTCTAAAAAAAAAAACCTCAGTTATACCGTAGAAAATACACATTGTATTTATATACATTTAAAATAAATACACATTTACTGTTTGAAACTTTGCAGTACATTTTACACTCACTCATCAGCCATGATTATTTTACTGCTGGATAAAGGCCTCCAAAAGTCGTCGCTATTCTTTACGGTCTGCGATGCATCAATTCACCCAGAACCTGCACATCAGCCCCGTGCACGCTCCCTCCTTTAGCTGGCACTCAGTAGCCAGTTTGTCCATCAGTCATCATCCCTTCAATTGACAAGTCCTGTCCAAGCCCAATTATTTTACTTAACAGATAAACATTTTAACACGCACATGCTGTCTTAATCCACGTTCCTCTTTACGTCTCTGTGAAATCCCAATCGTACATCCCTACATGCTTCTCTGCACAATTTTGAGCTTTTGTTCCATCTTTTGTCACTGTACATGTTTCTGATCCATATCATAGCAGGTCACTCATAAACACTTTCTTCTCGAGACACATTAGTATGTTGCTCTTAATTGTCAAGTGCATCCTCCCAAAAGCCCCCCAACCCACTCTTATTCCACCTCTGTAATTCGTAATTTTGATCTTGGTACATTTGTAGTGACGTATATGGTGTCACTAGGGTGTTCGCGCCAGCTACTGTTACAGGAGTGCAACTGTGCGTCTGGAGCCTCGCTCTAGCACCAGAGTAAGTACGGCGTGTCAGCCAGCTCTAGGGGGCATAGTCCTGGTGATGGCCTGAGAGAGAGGGCAAGTGAGGACGTGGTCGCCTGAGTGGGGCACGTGATGCTGGGTCGGGATCGTTCGGGAAAGGTCTCGAAGGGGGCGTGGCCAAAGGCGGAGCGAGGCCACGCTCAGGAGCATCAAGGGGCAGTTGCCGAGTGATATTGGTTCGTCTGTGGAATCAAGCCTGGGTCCCACGTCTCATCGTCTCCGGGTCTTCGTCTTGAGTTAACTCGCTACTCACATAGTTAGCCACATGACCTGCTATAGTACCCGAGTTACGTTAAAGTTGTTAAAGAAAAGTGTTGCCTCCCAGTCCACAGTGTGTGCCTCCGTGTTGAACACTACACATTTTCACTAACGGTCCAAGCTATACTGTGCAGTGTTTTCCAGTTGTGTCATTCTAACACTCAACAAACACCAATCACCTCACTCTTAATAGATACGAGCCTGACACAACTCATCATACACTCACATATGTATGTTGAACTTCTTTCGCACCGTACATAACAAATAAGAAATGCGTACTACTCTATCGGCGGTGGCACGACACGAATTACGATGAAACACTTTATCCAGCAGGCTGCGCACAACTCTTTGAGATGAGCATGCAGTGATGGGAGTTTTTTCCAACGAAATCAAAGGTCATATTTGAGTAATATTCAATCCCTTGGGTTTCTGGGTGTACAGGTAGTTCCCGACTTACGATGGAGATGCGTTCCGGCGACCCCATCGTGAGTCAAAAATATCGTCAGTCTAAAATGGCCTAGCCCTACCCAGGAGTCTTAAAGAATGGTGATAATTTAGCAAAACAGAGCAATTTACAGTACCGTACTGTATAAACTATATACTGTATGTATTTATTAATTACAATACTGTGTTGCACAGCAAAATGTAAAGTAAAAAACAAGGTAAATTCTTAACCTACCTATATGAACTGCAATTTCATATAAAGTTTTTAGGAAACAATCCTATCTGCTATAAAAAAAAAATGTTTTACATGTATCGTAGTAACCCTATAATGAAATCGCTAAAGCTATGTATCATACATGTGTAGAGGTGTTACGGGAGGGTGACACGCGGTTGTATAACGGTGGCCATAAACACGTCCGCTACGGCCACCACCCTGGGGGCTGTGGGGGATGCTGTGATCCCTCCCAGCCCCACCCCTCAGTGAGGGACAGTATAAAAGGTGGGACCCTGGGAGCTGAGAGGCAGTTCAGGGCCGGGCAAAGCAAGCCAGGGTGCGAAACCAGATCCGCGAGGCACGATGTCCTTCTGAGGGCCGGACTCTTGTGGCTGGTGATCAGGACCTGTGCCGAAGCTGGGCCAGGTCAGATAACCTCCTGAGAGAGGACCAGGATAGAGGGAACCAGGGGGCTAGCGTGGGCTAAAGCTCGGGGAACGTCCCTTCTGTAGAGTACGGGTGAAGAGGCGGTTACCTCTTCAAGTATCAGATTCGCCACTGTAATTGAAGCGCCTGTAATAAATAAGTGTTGCCTCAAGTGAACAGTCTCCGATGTCAATAAGGCCACTACACATGCATTGAACGTATCGTAACGTATCATATTCTACTGTACTCACCAAGATTCTGTCCATCGTCTGCATACTTGAACGATGTTAGGTTGTTGATGGCTACATTAACCTAGTTGTCGGAAGAGGAGGATGGCGATGATAATGTAGAATATTTGTGCCTCGTACGCTGCTGCGTTTGCCTGCCGTGCGAAATAAAAAAATATTTTACAATTTTGTCATATCGCCATCGTAAGATCGAAATATCGTAAGTTGGACCATCGTAAGTCGGGGACTACCTGTATAAGGGGGAGCGAGGCTCACGATCAGGGTGCTGGCTGAGAGACTGAAGGACGACTGCAGGTGGACGACATCGGAGCCGACTGTTGGAGATCAATATCGTGGAAACTATCGGCCCAACTGTTCGAGATTTACAAGGTGGATACCATCGAGAAGGGCTGTTCGAGATTAATCTAGTAAAAACCACCGGGGTTTCAGACAGTCATAGCCTTGTGTAACATGTTAGTCATACTCTCACCTTGTAAATATGTTATGAAATAAATAATATAGAAAATGGAGCCTGCAAAGGAGCTTCTTTACAATAGTATCAAAACTGGCATTCTTAAGCAATCTGATTGGGTTAAAGTTCTACAGTCACTTTACCATAAACGTCTGTTATTCTTTGGTTTTATTCAGTAAAGTCACATAGATAAAAGAAAAGAAAATAATTTGTTTTATTTTATCTACGTGACTTTACCGAATAATACCAAAGAGTATGAATCCTTGCAGTCACGAAAGCTTCAAATCTAGAAGTCTCTGTTATTCTTTCTGTATACTCCTTTACACTTCCTGTGACATATGTAGTGACATCGGGGATGTTACTGTATGGTGCCGGCCCGGAAGAGTCGTGCCGTTTGTTGTCCCGCTATCGTGGACAGCACCGTATGGGTGGTTGTGTGTAATACCAGCCCTAGCGGGGCTTGGTGAGCACTGGGATAGTGCGGGCACCACGCGCAGCGTGGGGTGGGGGCTCCCATGAGGGGGAGTGGGGGAGTGTCAGCCCAGGGACAGGGTTGCCCCGGGTCATGGCACTCTGGTTGACCCCGTAGACACGTGATCCAGAATGTCCATACAGGGGGCCCCAGGTGGGGGGACTAGGGTGGGACCACGTGTCCGGCGAGAGCTCTTGAGAGGGATTGAGAGGGAATGAGAATGTTCGGGAAGGCGGACGGTGCCGAGGGCGGAGCGGCCCCGACCGGAGAGGGATATAAGGCGGCTCCCTGAGAGGGACTGGAGTCTCTCTTCGTTCTACAAGCTGGAAGTTCCGCATCTCAAGCTGGAAGTGCCTCATCCTACGGGGGACTACGTAGTCAGAGGCCTGAGCGAGGGTCCGGACCTTCATAGCAGTAATTCCTCCGTATAGAGTAGTTAGCTGGGTGGTCACCACCCTAGGTTGTATCTGGTGAAGGGGCAGTTACCCCTTTGTGTTACAGTGTTACAAATAAAAGTGTTGCCTCTAAAAGGAACAACGTCTGCGACTCAGTTGGATTCACTACACAATGACTATTACATATGTAGTGGCCTTATTGACGTCGGAGACTGTTCTTTGGAGGCAACACGTATTTATTAGACACTGCAATTACAGTAGCAAATCTGATACTTGAAGAGGCAACGGCCTCTTCACCCGTACTCTACAGAGGGAACGGTCCCCAAGCTTTAGCCCACGCTAGCTCCCTGGTTCCCTCTAACCTGGCCCTATCTCCAGAGGCTCTCTGACCTGGCCCAGCTTCGGCGCAGGTCCCGATCACCAGCCACACGAATCCGGCCCTCAGAAGGACATCGGGCCTCGCGGCTCTGGTGTCGCACCCCGGCTTGCCTTGCCCGGCCCTCAAAAGGACAGCGGGTCAAAGGAGTTCCAAGGTCTAGCTAGTCGATCTTCTTTCTTCACTGGCTCTTCATCTTGCTTGAGTCGAACTCCCCCTCAGCTCTCCGGGTCCCACCTTTCATAGTCCCTCTCTGAGGGGTGGGCTGGGAGAGATCACAGCGTCCCCCACGGCCCCCCAGGGTGGTGGCTGTAGCGGACGTGTTTGTGGCCACCGTTATACAACCGCGTGTCACCCTCCCGTTACACCTCTACATCACCCCCCTGTACAGCCCGCAGCCGTCCCGGCTGCAACAACACTCAACAAAAAAAATAAAAACCGTTTAACAAGAACCCGAATTTCGTGTGCCTCAATAACAAGAACAGAACAACAACAACAAATTACCCCAACCCACCTGTACAAATAGACACTATACACAATATATACAAAAAAATATGTATCCTCCCCTCCCGGCACCGAAGCCGGCGACGCAACACGACCGACCCGACACGTAGTTCGTGAGGAGAAGAAGAACGCCCGGACAGTGAGCAACCATCCCTCACGA